GGGGGCAGCCAATCAATGATTCTCTCTCATCATTGATGTTTCTATCTCTCTTTCCCTTTCCCTTCCTCTCTGAAATCAATAAAAATATATATTTAATAAATAAATAAATAAATAAATTTGGGACAAGCTGCATGTTAAACCTTCCTCTTGGAGACTCCTTGGTATGTTAAAAACCCAGTGAGTTCTACAGAAAGAAAGCCCTTTTAACATTGCTTACCCTAGCACTATTCCACACAGGATGGATCTCACCTCTTAGGCATATCTTCAGGCAGAGAGAGTTAGGAGGTGCCAGGCTTCATGAAGATGGGGGTCTCATCCCTTATCCAGGACTTCACAGAGCAATTTAGTTCAGTGGGACTGTTTGACTATGAGGCATGGGTGGAAACACTGGAAATTCAGTGTGTCCCTGAGAGGTCAGAAGACCAACTCTCACTGAGGGCTGGAAAAGAAGGATGATGGTAGGCGGCTCGATGAGCCTGGGCCATTCCCCCCAACCCAGATGGGAATGATTCAAGCAGTAATCTTTGATCCTGTCAAGAGATGGACCATGAGCATCACAACCCCTTCTGAGGCCGATTCACCTCTCTGTTTCAACCTGGAGACCACACCACAGAAGAGATCCCCCACACTTCTGTGCGCATCTCCTTCAAGCTGTCTTTGTTCACAGAGGCCTGGTTGGCCTTGAAACCTGGAGCCCTGTGTTCTCCTGTTTACTAATATAACTCAGTTATAGACAACAGAAAACCTCATAACTCAACTCTGCTCCCTATCTGTGTGGGCTGAGCCTCAGCCTCTCAACTGCCTAAAGTCAAGTCTCCAAAAGGGACAAAAATGTTTCCCCCCTTCAAAGAAACTCAATAAAAAATCCTAGGGTGGCCCTGGCCAGAGTGGCTCAGTTGGTTGGAGCATCGTCCTGTACACCAAAATTCCCAGTCAGGGCACATACCTAAGTTGCAGGTTCCATCCCCAGCCCCAATAAGTGTGCATGCAGAAGGCAACCAATCCATGTTTCTCGCACATCAATGTTTCTCTCCCCTCCTTTCTCTCCCTTCCCCTCTCTCAACGAATATGTCCTTGGATGAGGATTAAAAAAATAAACTTTTTTTAAAAAATCCCAGGGCTCACTCTTACTGGATCAACTATGTCACGTGTCAACTTCAATCCAATCAGTAGTATGGCCAGGTGGCCTCAGGGCATTGATTGGCCAGGACCAAGTCACATGTTCTGCCCTCCTCTCCATTTTGATTGAGAGTGGGGGAGGGGAAGTTCTCCTGAAGGAAAACTGGATACTCTTTCAGGGGATTATTGCCAAAGCAGGGTGAAGAGATGGCTGCTGGTGTCAAAAACAACAGCTGTCTCCTGGTACCTTCTGGAATCCTCACCAGCAGCTCCTTCCTGCAAGGATGCATGGATGCATGTGAAATGAGGTTGTTTCAAGTGACCACCTGGCACTTCTTATTGCTACAGGCAGCAGACTTGACAGAAAGCCCATGAGCACACGCACCCTCCAAGCTGGGTCCATTCACAGAATTCAATTCAGAATGCTAGGCTTTCTCCATGAATAATGCATACCATTCACCCAGTACATAAGGTCAATGCCCCAGGTGGTCTTAGAATGTTTCCTAATTTGAGCTTCCATCACCTCTGATCTCAGATCAGACTCTGTGAGCATAGGCTGAGGTCCCTGGAGGGGAGGGCCTGGAGACAACCTTGCCCCTTCCCTGGCTGGCCTAGTCTTGGGTTTGGGGGCCGGGGGTGGGGAAGAGATAAGCAGCCACATGCAAAATTGGAGTGCCCTGAGTAAAGCTGGGACCAGGGTTTCCATCCCCATGAAGCAGCTTCCACCAGGAAGGGACCATGGAGTGGCCTGCGTCCAGAACACTGGAGGCCACAGCAGATGCTGGCAGAAGCAGGTGGGGCATCGGGGCCTTGGGGGAGACTAAGATATAGGAGGCCTTTGGACCCTGTGCCAGCACTGACAGCGGAGGAGAGGTGACACCAAATCCTGGCTCTCAGACCTGGGGTATCCTGGCTCTCAGACCTGGGGTAGCCTGGCAGGAAGCTCAGAGAATGCCAGGGAGTGCAGCTAGGTGCCTCTGGCCACCAAAGCCAAACCCCAATTCCAAGCAGCCTAGGGGCCTGCAGCTGTATCAGGACAGCGGCCACTGTGAGGAGTCCTACAACAGGGCCCTGAAATGACTAAGAGGTGGGCCTTCCTGAGGACCGTGCTTTGCACAGCAAGCAATTTAATGGAGCTAAACAAGAGGAGCCCAGGGAGTAAAACCCAGAGATGGCCGGTGACCTTGGAGGAGCCAACTGTGGCCTCAGCTCTGAGGAGGCCTGGGGTCTCCTAGGAAAAGGATAGTCCCTTATTGAACCCTCAGCTGCCCAGGAAGGCTTGGGAAATGACCACTGGCTGTCATGTCTGACTGAGGTTCCAGCAACAGAGATGGAGGAAGATCTTGTTGTGGGGCGGTGGCGGGTGGGTGAGCTGCCCCTGGGCCCAGGGTCCACTGAAGGGTTTTTTCCTGGACTGAGCAGAACTCAGGGGAGCCCCCTGCAGTTCCTCTGTGGCCACCAGAGGGCGCCCATCTCTCACGAATCTTCCAATCTGTCCTTGCTGTAGTAGACTTTGGAAGTAGGTAGGACGAAGGTGACCCTGGACCCTGAGGATAGACTCCCAGGCATGTAATGTGCCAGGCTCAGGACAAGAGGAAAGTGGGTTCTGCTGGAGTCATCAAGGGCTATTTCAGGTCAAACTTTTGGTGGAGTGAAGGGATGCTTGGACAAAGGGTATAGCAGGGAGCTCAGTGCAGATGTAGGACCCCAAGAGAGGCAGCCCTGGACCCTGACTCATGCCTCATGCTATTGTTCTCATTGTGCAGAGGAACAGATGAAGACTCAGTAAGGTTCAGTTACTTGCCCCATATTAACTGCCATGTCTGTGTATGGGGCAGCTTCTCACCTCTTTTCCGGGGAGTTGGAGAATAGTAGCTCTGAGCAGAGCAGGGCCGCAGCCTGAGGGAGCTGGGTTAGACCTGACCCCAACCCTTCACGTTGCCTATATGGCCTTCCTAACCCCCTTCTTCTGCCTTAAGGTCCCCCTGGGCTCCAGGCTTTGGGAACATCAGCAAGACTGTGCTGTCCTGGGCAGCAGGACGGAGAGCAGCTGGTCAGTCTTACCTTGAAAAGTCAGCAGCCCAGCCTGTGCAGAGGTGTAAGATGGTCACACAGGGTCAGAAGGTCCCTCCTACAAAGCCTTTATCTAACCCTGACCCTGGCAGCAGTTTGGGAACAATTCAATGGGGGAATGGGCATTCTGGGGCCTGAGTGACCTACTGAGGACAGCTAAGCTCTAGTCCCTGTGAAGAGTGAGGCCTTCCCAGAATTCGGGCATCCGGCAGAAACCACAAATGTGGTGGAGACAGGTGTGGAATGGGTCATGCATGGTGTCCCACCAGCCATGTCAGGATGAGGGGGCTTGTTTCTCTTGTTCTTTTTTTTATCTCTGGAGCCTATGTGTCTAGCACAGAAGGCATCTGGTATATATGCGAACTAATGAATGGATGAACAAATGAATGGAATGGACAGAATACTTACCATGTAGGGGAGAAAGTGTTGAATAAGAAGTGGCCCCTAGCCCAGCTGGCCAGTCTTACCTTGAAAAGTCAGGAGCCAGTTGTTCCCAAAAGTGGCTCCAGTGGTTGAATGAACCAAGAGGTCACCAGTTCGATTCCTGGTCAGGACACATGCCCAGGTTGCGGGCCTGGATCCCCAGTAGGGGCCGTGCAAGAGGCAGCCAATCAATGTTTCTCATTGATGTTCCTATTTCTTTGTCCCTCTCCCTTCCTGTCTAAAATCAATAAAAACATTTTAAAAAGAAAAGAAGTGGCCCAGCCATGTGGCTCAGTGGTTGAGCATTGACCTATGAACCAAGAGATCATGGTTCGATTCCTGGTCAGGGCACATGCCTGGGTTGCAGGCTTGATCCCCAGTGGGGGTGTGCAGGAGGCAGTCAATCAATGATTTTCTCTCATCACTGGTTTCTATCTCTTTCTCCCTTCCTCTCTGAAATATATATATTTTTTTCCTTTAAAGAAGTGACCCTTGACCTCAGTGGGCCAAAACACACAAGCAGGTAAATATATAAGCTCACACTGTGAGAGTTGCTCTGCGACAGAGGGTCAGAACTGGGAAGGGCCTTCTTAGACTGGGGACCAGGGAAGGCGTCTGGGAAGATAACATTGGAACTGAGACCTAACATGGAGCGAGTCATGAGAAGTCTAGAAGTCAGACATACCTGTAGCAGGAACAGCAAGTGCAAAGGCTATAAGGGAGGACCAAGCTTGCTGTGGACACAAGAGGCTGATTTGGCTGGTGAGCAAGGGAGGTGAGGCACAGGGTAGGCAAGAGCAAGAGGGGGTCCTGGTCTCAGAGTTTTACTTTACCCAGAGGGGCAGTGTCCAGCTTGGTATGGCCCCTGGTGTGTGACTTGAGCCTTGTCTCCTCTTGCTGTGCCCTCGCCCTGGCTTGCCTTATTCACACCTAGGCCTCAGTTACTCTGGTGCAGCCCAGGTCTCTCTCCTGCCCTCCAGACCTTCATCTCTGGCCCCTTCCCTGTGGTAAATGGCTCCTTCTTGTGCTCAAGATCTCAGGCCAAAGCCTGGGGGATCCTCCATGAGAACTGCCTCCAACATCCAATTGATCCCTGAATCATGCTTTACCCTAGATCAGTGGTTCTCAACCTTCGTAATGCCGCGACCCTTTAATACAGTTCCTCATGTTGTGGTGACCCCCAATTTCATTGTTACAAATTGAACATAATTAAAGCATAGTGATTAATCACAAAAACAATATGTAATTATATATGTGTTTTCCGATGGTCTTAGGATACCCCTGTGAAAGGGTCGTTCGACCCCCAAAGGAGTCGCGACCCACAGGTTGAGAACCGCTGCCCTAGATGATGTCTTATGTGTGCCTGCTTCTCTCCCTCCCAGCATCTGCCCTTAACCCAGGCCCCAGAGGTGTGAGGTGTGGATGAAATACCCCACAATGTCTCCTCCTGTTAGAAGGGGCTGGGGCCCCAGAGACTCTTGTGATAAAGCAGTGTGCCCCCACAGCAGTCAGCTCCAAGGTGAGAAAAGGAACCCCCACATAGCCAGTGTTGGAAGGGGCAGGGTGGGTAGGGAGGGTGCATGACTTTTCAGTCCCCACCCATCTTTGTCCACACCCAGCCCTACAAAGTCACTCCAGGCTATGGGGTGTGTGAGGGAGGGGGGGTGCTGTGTCCCCAACCCTTAATCCCTTTTCTTTCACCCAAAACAAGTATCTCACTTGTACCCCAAGACACCAGAGATGTGTTTAAGACTATTCAGGAGAGACAAAGGAGGCACAGCTGAGAGCAGGATCCACATATTTAGATGTCATCTGGCGGTGTCCTGCAGCCTCCACCTTGGCATCCTCAGCCCATTCCCTGTACCTCCACAGCTGGGTTGTCAAACCTCCCTGACTAGATTGCAGGAGGCTCCTGCCTATAAAGCTCTCCTGTGGACCCCAGCCTAGGAAACGGGCCCCAGAGGTTCTTAGTGGGCTCTTAACCATCACCTTTCTGAGGTCTAGAACTTGAGGTTGCACCACACTTCCTCCAGTTAGTCAAAACTGGCCCACCTATCACCTTCAGCTATGCTCAAGGGGCAGGATGGCCTGCCAGACTAACCAAGGAACTTGTTTCTCCAGGAGCCAGAGCTTGCAGAATGAGGACAAGGCTGCATCACTGCCCTGGAAATTAAGTCCTAAGGGATAAGGTGCCATCTACCACCACCAGGGGGAGCCACTCAGCAGAGAACCTAATCCACCCAGGCCTGTGCAGGGGACGGCCAGCTGTCCCATGGAAAGAGTGCATCCACACGCCTGGCCTGTGCTTCCAGTCTGAGGCCCTAGACACCTTCCAGGGCACACAGGTTCACTTGGCATCCAATAATGTGGTCCCAGGAAAAGGTTTTTGGTACAACCAGTAGACAAAACTGGTAAGCAGCTCTCCCCTCAGCCCCTAACTCCAGTGCCCTGCACCAGACACTGGTGCCCCAAGGACACAACAGTCTCCTCCCAAACTGGAATCTTCAACCTCTGTCCCTACCCAGTCAAGAGCTGGAGCTGAGTTCAAGATCATCTCCCACCTCTTTGCCCCTCCCCAGTTTTCAAGAAACCAAAGCAGAAAGAAACAGGCTTGAGACAGAGCTTTGTTAGAACAACTCAGCAAAATAAAATTCCTGTTTATTGTGGACAACATTGTTTCACACATACATCGAACAGGCCAAAAAAAATAAACAGCAATTTCATAGACAAAAAAAGGGAAAAAAAGAAACCTTTTATCTTTGGCCTTTTTAACCATCTCATACAAACCAACTACTTATAGTACAGCTAAGTACATACACAAAAAGTTACTGGAATGCTCGGAATAAGATTGTTTTTTTTGTTGTTGTTTTTGCTTTTTTTACAAGGTTTTTTTTCTCCTTTGAGATTATAATGAACATGGTCACACCACAAGTAAAGTCAGAAGTAGGACAGAGAATGCTCCAAAGGCTGGTTTGGTCATCCCAAGATCATAAGGCTGGTTTGGTCATCCCAAGATCATTAAAAATGGCTGACCCCTAACAATATGTACAAAAATATAAAATGTAAATAAAAAATACAAACAAATTTTCCTTTTTAAAGTACTTTTAAGAAAAAAAGCAGAGCAGGGCCTTGGAAGTTTTGGTTCTTTTTTCCTCCCCTGTTGCAAATTCACGTTGTGGTTTTGGTTGGGTGGTGGAGAGTGCGTGTCATCTGCAGGTGGCGCTGCCTGAGGTGGGTGGGTAGGCAGGTGGGCGGGAGTCTCTACTCGAAGGTGACCACGTTTAGATTCTGAGACGGGAAGTGGAGGGTGAATAGGTCACGGAGGCCTTTAACTTTTCCTTTTTTTGCTGTCTAGTCATCCTCATCGGTCTTCTGCTTCTTGGTGTCAACATCATCATCCTGAGCAGGAAAAATATTGTTAAGGTCCGCTCCAACCCACTGGGCCCACCCACCAACTGCCTCAGCTCCTGCTGATAGTCCCAGAAGCCTTTAAAGCAACTCAGAAATACCCAGCACCCCAAATACAACTGAGCCCCCCACCCCCACCCCATCCCTCAAGTCAGAACCCACCTCATCATCTTCAGCTGCCCGTTTGCCTGTAGCTGCCTCAGCCTCCTCATCTTCATCTCCATCCTCTTCCTCACCTGGACAATCAAACCCCAGGTGAACCACAACCCTTCAGGAATCAACCAACCAGGGAGGGTCTTGGCTCCCTTCTACCCAGTGGGACCCAGAACTTGGGGGAAAGGAGCAGGAAAAAGGGAAAACTGAACTGCATTCCTTAAAGAATCTCCCAGTAACAGATTTGCCAGGTGTAAATGTCCCTGGATCTGTCTCTACTGCCTAACAGGGCAGCTGGGGTACCCACACCACCCATGCAGGCACTTGTCTTCAGATGGGAGAAAGAGGACCCAGAGGTGCAAGCAGCTGCACTTAGAGGGGCCAGACCCCACAGATCAGTGGGTGGAGGAACTCTCCATTGGGTGGGACAGTGTGAGACACAGCTTTAATCTAAAACAAGGAAGGCCCTGACTCCACAGGTACAAACCCAATTGTAGGTAGTCCACTGGCCCCCACCCTGGAAGCCAACTCCTCCCCCTGTGACAGAAGCCAGGGAAAGGTACCCCCCAAAGGAGGAGACAGACAAGGCTACTCACCATCACCTTCCTCTTCCTCCTCCTCCTCCTCCCCTCCTTCTTCCTCTTCTTCATCTACCTCATTGTCAGCCTCCTGCTCCCCATTTTCCTCATTCTCCTCGACAGAAAACATACCAGGTTATTACCTAGGACAGACCATCACTGCCCAATACACTTCTACAGCCTCAGACCCCTGAAGAGCCACCAGGTGACCTTGACACAGAACTGCCCAGCCTCCTCCCCCACCCGGACTAAGCCCAGGAAGAGAACGTCTTGGCCAGGAGCAGCTAGGAGGTATTGAGCAAGGTGGACACTCACAGCGTTCCCATTCGCAGGTGCATCTCTTCCATTCTCTGTCTCCTCCACAACTTCCTTCTTCTCCTTTAAGTCCTTCAAAAGGGAAGGAGGAAAAGTCTTTTAAGGGACTCCAGGTATAACACAGTGCTAATCAGATGCCCCAAGTTAAAAGTGCCGCACTTAACACGTGGAGCCAGTGGAAGAAAGGCCACAGATACAGTGTGTCTGTCTGTGGTCAGGTTGTCTGATTTTTCAGCCCTTCCCTTGAGAAAAGGCCATGTGGCACCACAGCCCCAAACCCGTCTGACGAGCCGGGGAACTCTCACACGCACCCATTGGACTTGTTTCCAAGCAGAGGAAGCTCCGCCTCAAGTCCTTCTGGGAAGGCAGCAGGTATGCGCCATAAATAGGCAGAGGGAGGACCCTACCACTTCGGGAGTTCCTGTAGGCGGACTAGCCCAGGAAGGGAAGGAGCCAACAGCCAGAACTGGGGAGGCGCCTCACCAGCCAGAGTCCTCGCAGCAGAGCTCCAGCCCCAAGCCCACCAGTCTAGGACCTGGCAAGCTCAGGCCTTTGAAAAAACCCAAATTCCACCGACCTCCCATATCTAACAGCTCTCCCAGGGGGCTGCAGATCGTGGTCTGGAAACGGGTTCGGGCTAAGGAACCAGTGCCTGGGCCCCAAGCGCTTCCAGCCCTCCCGCGCACCTCAGGGAGCCGAGACGGCCGGCATTCCAAAGGGCAGTGCCGCTGCGGACGCCCTGAAGCCCCGTAATTTTTTCCATATAGTGCGGCTGGGCCAGCCGCCAACAGACAGGCATCGAGCTGCCCCGGGCGCCGTCCAGAAAGCAGCCTCGGGGCACCTGTCGGCCCGGTTTGCCCCGGCCCGCCCAACTCCGACCCGGCTGGGCGCTGCCCACTCCCGCCCCCTGGCGGCTGAAGCCCTAGGGAACGAGTGGGGGCGGGGAGGCCGCACTGCGCAGGCGCACAGCCCCCGCCCGGCGAGCTTTGCGCGCGGGCTCTGCACGCACCGCGCGCGCAGAGCACGTGGCCCGCGGCCGCCGAGTGTGCCCCTGACCCTGGAGACCCGTAGCCGGCGGCTGCGCTGGCCCCGCCGAGCACTTGAGGTGCGCACCAGTCTTTCCGGGCTCCGGACGCCTGCGCAACACCCCCAACCCCGCAGTCCTAGAGACGCGGGGTTGTGCGCCTCTGCATTTGGCGGGCAAAGTCCCGCGGGAGGCCGCCCCGAAGTCTGCCGGGCTTTTTCGGTATCGCAGCCCCTAGGCCGTCGGGGACGCGCTCCACTCGGCTATTTATTGCCTCTAGTGGGAAATCACCGTGGAGGAAAGCAAGCGCGGACGCCCGCACGGGGGAGGGACAATCTTCCCATCTAAACTAGACTCTGGCTGTGCCCAGAGCGGGTCGGAGGGAGCCTCTTCAGAAAGCCGGTCGCAAGCACGGGTCTGCCGGGAGAGTCGCCCCTGGGAGAGCGCCAGAGGTGACGCCAGGGGCACTAGGGTTAAGGAGACGCCAAGGTGACTCGTGACCGTAAGAGACGAGGCCAAGAGCCGAGGGCTAAAAAAGCTGGTCCGCTTTAAAGTGTCGCGCTCCCGCCGACGGCGGAGACACTCCCGGGGCCGGCAACGGGACCGACGCGGCGCGCAGAAGCCCGGCTGCGCCAAACGCGCAGGACCTCAAAACCGAGGGCGCCAATGAACCGCCGCACAGGACCCCGACTACCCTGGCGCCCGGCCCGACCCCACAGCGGGCTACCTGCGGTCGCAGCTTTTGTTCGTCCGCCTCACCCCGGGAGGAGCTGCGCGCACGGTCTTTCCCGGCAGCCGCGGGGGGCGCCCATCGTCGCCCCGGGGCGCCGCTCCTTCACTTTCCGTTTCCTCCCTCCGGCGCGTGGGCTCTCCCCCGCCAAGCCCGGCTCCGCTGGTGCACTAACGCTGGGCGGCTGCTCCCGGCGCACTGCCCCCGGGAGGACGCCCACCCCCGCCTCCCAACACCTAGGAAGGATGAGCCCTTAAACATCTCCGCGGAGAGAACTGACGTCGCGGGCGGCCCGCCGCCCACTCCACTTATCAGAGCTCTGCGCAGATAAGCCTCGGACCCGCTGCAAGGCGCGAAACGAGGCGACCTAACGCCAAACAAAGAGCAGCGCCGCGGCGGGGCGCCTCACCGCGGAGCTGCCACTTCCCGCAGCCAGCCCGCATACGCGGCCCCCCCAACACTTCCGATTCCAAACGCACTGTGGAGTTTCAAAGTTATTTCCGTGCGCCCGCCGGGCCGACGACCCCCTCGCTGGGCCCCTCTCCTCCCGCCACCGCTCAGGAGAGTCGAGCAAGTTTCCAGAGCCGAGGAGCCGTCTTTCCTCCAGCCCCTCAGCCTCCGCTCCCGCCCTCCCCGAGGCTCCGAGGGTGCCCGGCCCACTCCACGACCGGCATCACGTCTGCCCGCAGCACTTCCCGCCCCCTCCCCCGCACACACAAAGAGTGGGCTGCCTCGAGGGCCTAGGCCGAGCTCTCCGCGGGAGAGCGCAACAGCGGGTTCGGGAAAGCCCAACCGCCGCGCGCCAAACACCGCTTCGGCGACAAGAGCGCGCGGACCCCGAAGGGGCGGGCGGCGTCCAGCTCACCTTGGTGGTGATCTCGGAGCTGGTGTCCACGGCCGTGTCTGACATGGTGGGGCACGCCGGTGATCCTCTGCAGCGGATTTTTTTTAAAAAAGCGAGAGTTGGAGGACTCTGGCGAAGAAGCTGCCGGAGTCCGCGGCGGTGGAGGAGGCGCGCGGCGGAGGTGGTTGCAGCGAGCGGAGAGGGAGCCACAGGAACAATGCAAAGATGGCTTTTCAGAGCAGCCAGTGGGGAACTCACGCGGCGCCAGAACCTTTAATATAGATTAGTGGGCGGCGCCCGGCCTCCCTTACCCAAATGCTATTGGTTGGGCGCAGGGAGCGGGCGCTCGTTCATTGGCTCCAATCTGAACAATGGGCAAGCGTGCTTAAAGCGGCAGTGCCTTGGTGCGTCCCGCGCTGCGCAGTCGCCGGTCGCTCTGTCATTCAGAGACTGAGTTTGCCGGGTCTCAGCGGCGCCGAAGCCGCGGGGGAAGGGCTCGCGCGCGCGAGCTCAGGGCGCGCGCTCTCGCCGCTGTTTTGCTGGGGCTGCCGACGCCAAAAGCCAAAGCGCGGCAAAGTTGCCCGCCCAGCCCCCCTCCACCCCTCCCGCGGAAGGAGGGGGAGGCGCGTACGACGGCTGCCAGCGAGGGGGAGGGGAAGGCCGGGTGCTGGGCTGCGCTCACCCCGGGCGGTGCCTGCGCAGTGCCCGCAGAGATCCCTGCCCCACACGCCTGGGCACCTTCGACCAAGAATTGCTTCAGTGCAAGGGGGCGTCGGTCCCAGACAAGCGTTGAGGGCTGCGAGGCCAAGACCCGCGCACCTGGGCTGCCCGCACGACTCTCTCACTTTGTTCACCCCCTCTGCCCAGTCCCGGGGGCTCCGAGTCTTTGAGGATGTCACCACCTTTACCCACCACTTGCCCCTGCGTGCACCCCCTAAA